GGAGGAGGAGGAGGAAGAAGAAGAAGATACACACATACATACACTCTCTTAATGATTGAGTCCCTGGATTTTCACAATACATAAGGCCATTAATTAACTCCAACAGACTAGATTCCTGCAGCATGCTAAGCCGCAAAATAATATTAACCAAGGTTAAAACTAACTAAGCATGGGGTGTGAATACAGCCTCTACATTTGTAATCATCCTAGTTAAACATGTAGGGTGAACACTGCCATAATTTTGTTATGATGAACGAGGGTGGGGTGGGGTGAGGCCGGGAAGCCCTAGCTCCTTGGAAGAAGGCAATGAAAAACAAAATTTAATAGCAGACCAGCCACTCTTCCTGTACTACAGAAGAGCCAACTTACCATCACTGCCTGAGTTTTTGAGGTGTTCCCCTAAATCACAGCCAAAAACCCTCTCCCTGAGGATTCCCCGCTGCTTCAGGCGCTGTTTGCTGGGCCTGGACTTCATGAAAGTACGAAGAAACCCAATGAGCTTGCCATGTTTCTTAGACACTGGAAGAGAACAAAAAACAGGGAAGATGGAGTGCTTTTGAGCTTAGGAGTAGGGAGACAAAACTTTTCAGTCAGCTTTCCTCCCAGCTGACAATTAGCTTCCATCTTCTCCTATTTCATGTAGGTTGTAATTCACCTGAGGTTGGGGACAGGAGGCCATGAGTCCTGGGGAGGACACAGCTTGTCCCCTCTGCATCTACACAAGGAGACACAAAGAAAGTTGCAAAAATTCAGAGAGAAGAAAGAAAGAAATCCACATCACCAGGACAGGGGGAAGAGGATACGAAAGATGCACAATGCTAAGGCCAACTTTCTTCGCACACAAGTTGGGGTCATCCTGTGCACTAGTAATGCCTCACCTAATATTATTGAGACCCATTCTGGGCCGGAGGCTCCCAGAAACATTCAGGCCCAAGGAAATAATATGTAAATAATTTTTTGAATAGGTCTCCAAACTAGTGTTTCTCAGCCTTGGTGACTTGAAGATGCTGTCTGGGGAATTCTGGGAGTTGAAGTCCACACATCTTCAAAGTTGAGAAACATGCCTCCAGACCATTTCAAGTCAAACCAAATGGAAAAGGTTAAGAGAAGATTAAGGAGAAATCAGGGAAATGGAAATGAAATACAAATACTACAAAAGTAAGCCAGGGGAATTAAATATATTTAGCCTTAAGAAGGGGATAAGATAAAGGTCATCAAGTAGCATACCAAAAGAAGGCCATAATTGGTTTGCTCTTATCCCAGAGTGCAAAAAAACAGAAAAAATGGACTTTTATTAGGAGCAATTGATTGGTTGACTGGCAGATTTTATATGGTCATCTACCTCATAAAATGATTCTAGGCAGCTCATAGCAACCAATAAAAATGAAGATTAAAAAATGAAACCATCCTAGAAATTTTACAAAAACTTTTATATTTAAATTGTTACCTATTGAATTAATAAGAATTGTATTAATTCAAGGTTGACAAAGAGAATATTATTGGAAGAAGAGGAAATCAAACAAAGCTATTATGTGGACTTTGGAATATAAAAACTGATTGTTAATGATTACTTTGTAAATATAAGTCCAGACAACACACTGTTTACCAAACACTAAGTGTTTATGTTAAAAAATCAATAAAATATATTTTAAAAAATGAAACCATCCTTTCCCCCTATGCCAGACCCAACAACCTCCCAGGTCAAACCCCATTATAGCCCAATGCTTGGGGGGAAGAGCCAGGTCTTCGTGGCCCTTCCAGAAGACTCAAAGGAATCTCTTGGTGAGAAGCTGGTCCAAAGGGCTGGGGTGACCACCAAGATGAGCCTCTGAGACCTCCTCAGGTGACAACATTTAAGGGAGGGAACCTGGAGTACGCCCAGCCCATCTAACCTAGTAGGACGGACAGATACCCTCATGTTCATAACACTCTGATTGGATATAATGAAAAACTTCTTGTGCTATTCGAAACTTGATCATGAAATTCATGACCTCTGAAGAGAAGAGCCTTCCATTTGCTGGACATTTTCAAGCAGCAGCTAGGTAGACATTTATCAGTGATGCTTTAGTTGTATATTTGCACTAATCAGAGGGTAAGGCCTCCATGATCTAAATGACCACATAACAGACTTTTGAATTCCAGGATCCTATGTTCTCCAGATCTTTCCACCACCTCAGACTAGATCACTGATAACCAGAAGAGGGAACTTTTCCACAAAGGCTCCTGTTTATGTACTGTTCTCCATGTGCTTATTTGTGTCATCAAGGGCCAACTACAGTTTAATAGACAGGAGGATGAAATGGGACCGTAGGTCAATTAGTTCATTCCCTTCGCTTGAGGCAGAAACTGCAGAGCACAGGAGGCACCAACCTGATTTGACTCCAGGGCTAGGACGTTCTGAGAAGAGCTCCACACATTCGCTGGGGAAGAAACCCACCTGGAAAAAAAATACAAAATCCCTCTAGGTCAGACATGTCAAACACGAGGCCCGGGGGCCGGATGTGGCCCGCGAAGTGGTTTCATGTGGCCCGCGAAGCCATCCTGGAAACAGTGAGGGAACGGCCCCCGCTGCCTTGGCCCTGGCCCAGGCCGGCCGGGAGCCAATGTACAATTTTTTGGTGGCCATCTATGCTGAAATGCATTCAGTCTTAGCTCCATAAGCCCCCCCCCCGGGCATGGCCTGAGAGGAACGGTGAGGCTCCTCCAGTGGACCATGCCTTGGCACTTGCCCTGGTCCCACCCCCTTCTGCCAGAGACCCTCAGATCTGTCCCACTCCTGCCCAGGCCCCCACAGGCACCCTTGACGCGAACGATGTAGAGCTGGCCACACCCACTCCAACCACGCCCATCCAGTAGGCCGCACCCACCCTGGCCACACCCGCCCGGCCCTCTGAGGGCAACCGCAATGCTGATGCGGCCCTCAATGAAATTGAGTTTGACACCCCTGCTCTAGGTACAAAGTCCCACCGTTACAGGAAGTTCAGCTTACAACCATCCATTTAATGATTGCTCAAAGTTACAATAGCACTAGAAAATTATGACCCCAATAAAGTTATTTGATTTGACTGAAAAGTGTGACTTACGATCAGTACTTATACTTATGACCACACAATCACAATTCAGGTGCTTGGCCACTGGCATGTATTTATAGTGGTCGCAGTGTCAAAGGTCACAATTGCCATTTACGACCTTCCTGGGAGGTTTTCGACAAACAAACCCAATGGGAGAAGCTGGATTTGCTTAACAAATCACACGGTGGTTCACTTACCAACCATGGCAAAAAAGGTTGTAAAATTGGGCATGACTCCCTTAACAATAGCATCCCTCAGCAATGGAAGTTCCAGTCCCAACTGTGGTCATAAGTTGAGGATTACCTATTTGGGAATAACTCACCCAGTCCCTATTTATACTCGTTCTTTGTGAATACGGAAGACAGAGAATTTCCACAGCAACAAATTCAGCCAGATCCTATTTTAAACGTGCATTGCTTATGCACTGATCCACACTTTTTTCAATACTGCTGCACAATTAATTTAATCACTCTTTTTAAAGGAGACTAAAGCGTGTTTCGCATTAACTAAGAGACTGGAGACTAAAACAGGTTTAGCATTAATTAAAAGACAGGGAAAATAGCACAAGTGCTAAAACTGGAAAGGAAGCTATTTGTGCTTGTAAAAAAATCAGTTTCATTTGTGCTAAAATATTTTAGACACAGTGATCAAATGATCCCACTAATTCCTTCCTTCCAAAGAAATTCTTATAACAGCAAACAGGAGGAAGGTCCAAGGGAAAGTGATGGGTAGGAGAAAGGGTTCGGAATCCTGCTGATTATCTGTCATTTCCCTTTGTATGGCCTTGTCCTGAACCATTTTTCAGATAAAATGTGAATCTGACAGTTCTTCTCCACTGTTTTCCAATCCAGCCATGCTGGCTGCAGAATTCAGAAATCCATACACCTGGAGGTTAACTATGTTGGGAACCACCATTTAAACCCAAGGGTATGTCAAATGCATGATGTTGGTTAAACATCCCAGCTTCATTTACACAGCCGCTTTGTTTATCAAATCCAACCTGGAAACCGTGCTTCCCACGCCACCAGCTCCTGTCCTCTTTGGGGGGCATATCAATCACAGAAATGATGTCTCCAACCTACAACAAAGAGATTTTTTTTAAAGGATTATATTCATGCAGAGAGATTCAACATTGTGTAGATCAGGGGTCCTCAACCTTAGCAACTTTAAGACTTGTGGACTTCAACTCCCAGAATTCCTCAGCCAGCATTGCTGGCTGAGGAATTCTGGGAGCTGAAGTCCACAAGTCTTAAAGTTGCCAAGGTTGAGGACCCCTGGTGTAGATGGACTCTAGTTTATTGCCAACACATCAAATAAGGAAAATCATCTAAAAGTAGACCTTGATTTACAACTGGCCACTTAGTGACCATTTGAAGTTACGAAGGGCCTGCCAAAAGCTACTCACAGGCCTGATTTTGAAGTTACGACAACCCACACGCTAACCGTGGTCATGTGCATTTTAGGCACTTGGCAACTGCCTCAGCTTTATGGCTATTTGCTGTTTCTGCAGTCACCTTTTTGGCATTTTTTTGTAGGTTTCTGGTATTTACTTCTAGTTTCTGGCAAAAAGACCCATTGAATAAGATAGATTCACTTAACAACCATGGCATTCAATTAACAATCACCACAAAAATGTCATAAAATCAGGTTTGGTTATGTGGTGATACGCTTAATGACTCAACAACTTATGACCATAATTCTGGGCTTAATTACAGTCTTAAATTGAGGATTGCTTGTATATCTTTTGAAAAGCAATTCACTAAAGCAGTGTTTCTCAGCCTTAGCCATTTTAAGAAATGTGGACTTCAACTCCCAGAATTCCCCAGCCAGCTAAGTTAAGCTAAGCTAGCTGTGGAATTCTGGGAGTTGAAGTCCACATATCTTAAAATTGCTAAGGTTGCGAAACACTGCACTACAGTGTTGCTTTCTTTTTGCTAAAGAACAGAAAATGGATTTCCAAATACCATTTTATCTAGGAATAGAGACGGAACTGTAGTTTGCCTAACAAGCTTAGAGAGCCACGAGCCTACAAAGATCGGCTGTTGGGAGTAACGTGTGTTGGTGGCAGGGCTCACCTCAAAAGAGAGCTCATCAGAGGCCTGTGCAGTGTAACGTTTAACCACGTGAGCAGCTGCAATGGCAGGAACATTGATGGAAGCTTCTTCGTTTACCAAGAGTCGGTTGCCGTGATTATCAATCTGAAATGAAACAACCGGAAGAAAGCAACTTAATGGGATTCAGCTATGTAACATCCTTTGGATTTCAGGAGTCTAAAATTGGGTTGTACAGTAAGTATAGGTTGTCATCCATTTTCTAGTAGGACAATTTTGCTTTTTAAGCTCAACTGGGTGGGGGGATCTATGCTACCCCTGAAACTATTGCCCATCTACAGGGTGGCAATGATGCCCTCATTTAGTTTTCCCACAATGCTTTTCATACACATTTTCTACAATCTAGTGCTCAACAGATGCATTGAAAAACTTCTTACATTATTCCCAGACAGTATAAGTGAAGGCTGTGCTGTCATTTAACTAGCAGTTGCTTAGTTGACCATTCAAAATTATGATGGATCGCAAAGAAGACACTTATATCCCAGATTAGAAGTGACAATAGCCAGGTCCCCTTCGTGGTCACTTAATCACATTTTGGGCATTGGGCAACTGACTGGCATTTACAGCAATTGCGGTGTCCCGCCCTTACATGACAGCGATTTACAGCACAGAGAAGAATAGACATAGTTTAGACAAATTTGTTCATGAATTGGACCAAGATGATGATCAGCCATTAGATATGCTTTAAGGGTGAAAAAGTTGCAAATCACAGAAGGGCTTCAGCATCTTTGGGGAGGGGACATTGCGATTACTCAAAATTATTCTGCCAATTATTGGCAGCCTACTGCTGAGAAATAGAAATGAGGTTTATGATAAAGCAGGGAAAAAATAAGCTTTTTATTCTTGGCATTTCTACCTACCCACAAGCACAATCTCTTCTGGGAACTCTGGCGTCAGTTACTTAGATCAAGGGTGTCCAAACTTGGCCCTTTTATGACTTGTGGACTTCAACTCCCAGAATTCCTCAGCCAGGCATCCTGGCTGAGGAATTCTGGGAGTTAAAGTCCACAACTCATAAAAGGGCCAAGTTTGAACACCCCTGACTTAGATGATGTTACTACCAAAGTTGCTATAGAATTGAGTAGCCCTTTAAGTTTAATAAAATAAATAAGTTGCCATGTTTTCTATCTCTTCCCCCCCTCCATCTTTAATTTGATGGCCTCTACTCAACAAATCATCTCCTGGATTCTCACCTCCATCCAGGTGAGAACTGGGCTGCAATTGATATTGCTATCCACAATAGCAGAAAGCTTCTCAAGATACTGTAAAAGCATGGGCACCAGGAGCTGTAGGGAGTGAAATAAACAATATAAATAAATAGCTGTAGTCTTTTCCAAATTCAAGTCCCAAGAAGAACCAACAGCAGCTTGAGAGTGAGTTTGGGAAATTTTCCCATTTGGAAAAATTCTTCACAGCAGTTCATCTTATCCAGTAATGTCTACTCTGAATATAAATTATTTTCCAGAGCAGTCTTTCTCAAGGTCAGCAACTTTAGGAAGTGAGGACTTCAATTCCCAGAATTCCTTAGACAGCATGCAGTGCAAGGGGTCCTCGGAACTGAAATCCATACATCTTAATATTCCTGAAGTTGAGAAACGATGTTCTAGAACAGTGGTGGCGAACCAATGGCACGGGTGCCAAAGGCGGCACTCGGAGCCCTCTCTGTGGGCACACGTGCCGTTGCCCCAGCCTTGCCTCCCCCACGACCCCCTCACCAGCAGCCCCCCTGGAGGAGAGTCGCCCCCTAGCGTGGCCCACGCGGAGCAGCGCAGCCAAGGACATGGCATCCAGGCAGCATAGACAAGACTCTGCCCTCACGCCCCATCGCGCAGTTGATGCTGTGGGGCACGGGCAGAGGGCGTGGCCGCCATGGCGCTGCTGGGCTGCCTGGGTGATCTGCGGCGGGCCCTGGAGGCGGTGAGTGGCCCTGCGGGCAGGCGGGAGGTAGGGCGGGCCAGGGGGTGGAGCTTGGGCGGGGCCAGTTTTTGGGCACTCAGTCTCTAAAAGGTTCGCCATCACTGTTCTAGAATCTTGTAGATGGCTTTCAAATGACCTTCCATTTGAACCTCTCAAATGACAATATTAAGAATCTTCTGGCTGCAATTCATGCAACTTCTAAGCTACAACCCATTCCAGTATTCCAGGTGAGGTTCTTCCCTCCAAAATTTTGACAGAACAGGTTGAGGCTTTAGTGTAATAGGAGACCACTCTGATTATTCTTCCATTATTCATTATACAAGCAACAGACCTGAAGATGTTGAGCAATCTTCACCTTTGCTGAACTTAAAGGTCAACCCAATGATTGGGAAGTATTAGCTGGCCACAGAAAGTGTTCCCTTACACACACAAACTGCAAAATGGCTCCCAGACAGTCACCTCAGGATGAGCTTGCACATGGCTGAGGGGTGGCAATTCAGGAAGCTGAGAGAAACGCCGGTCAAAGATACAGCAATGCAGGTGAGCATCCAAAGTGCGGAATTCCTCATAGCTGCGATGTACCTGCCAGCTTTTCCCCTGGACCAAAGTAAGGAAATACTGTAAGTGGCTTTATCAGTGAGATCGAAGCCTGTCAACACTATGCCTATTTGTATGTCAAACTCAACATGTATAAATGTATTTAGCTTTTATGAGAACTGCGTGTGGTAGGTGATTACAGATTACGAGGTTTGAGTCTACCTCCAGCTGTGGAAACTTTGAGTTAATCAATTGTCTATGGAGATTCTCAGTCATCCAAATCATGATTGTCCCAAAGGTGCTTTTTCAAAAGACAACTGGATTCTGCGTTTCCTTGAAGATGTTCCGCTTCTCATCCAAGCCGTTCCGACTGTCAGCAGAACTGAAGAAGCTTCTTGGATGAGAAGCGTCTTCAAGGAAACACAAAGCCCAGTTGTTGCCTTTTGAGTTAGTCATTCTCCTCTCAGCCCAACATATCTCGTAGATATGTTATGGTGAACAAATGGTTAAAGAAAATAAGAGGGAGGAGCACTTTGTACACAGCTTTGATCTTCTACAGAAACAGTGGCATAGTAATTTCACAAATAAATAAATAACCTTACACTGGACCAGGCCTTATATCTATAGCAGAGTTTCGGTAAAACGCACAGTAGTTAATTATGTGTGTAATCATTCCTCCTTGGATTAGCAACAACTAATCAGCCGAAAACCTTGCTCCAGATGAGAAGAAAGTGCAACTCAAAGAAACCAACTCAACAGGTTTTGCCAACGGTTGTCGTCTCTCACCTGACAGGTAACCTGAACAGGGAATAAAAGGCTTCCTTCCTCCAAATTGTTGAGGTTTTCATTTTGATCAGGGGCAAACTGAAGCTGGAAGAAGAAAACAAAAGCAGTTATAGGATATTTCAGTTTTAACATCATTACACCTACCTGCTATAACAATGCCGTGCTTGTCAAAAACATCCAGGCTCTAAGGGACGTTCATGTTCCTTACCCTTGGAAAAGGAAGGGGGGGGGAGAATGCATTGACACACCTGGATGTGTCCAAAGTCCACGGCCTCATAGTGGAAATGGGCACATTCAGTCAGCTTGGGGAAATGGCCTCGTGTGATAGAAAGCCTGTGGAGTAAGAAAAAGACATTAGAAATGAATCAAGCAAATAGAAAATTCCAAACTTCAGTCTCATCAGGAAACGAAAGCATTATATGATCTGTGTCCAAGGTGAAGAAACTGTGAAATTGCAACCATCAGCATCCTTTATCATTGGCCGTGCTGGTTAGGACTTCTGGGAAACATAACCTCTCCATCTCTCTCTTACGGAAAATATGAAAAGCAATCCCTTGAAGCCCAGTCTTACTGTGAACTCTTGAGCCTCTCCCTCCTTAATTGCTTTGCATTTATCTCCATTGAAATTCCATGGCTTGATGTGGATCAGTCTTCTGCAACCTGGAACCTAAAGATGGAGGCTTCAAGACCCAGAAGTCCTAGCATGTTGGCTAGGAATTCCAAAAGAAGTCCTATCTGGAAGACCCCAAGTTGGGGAATGCCGAATGCCTTCAGAAGCATTCTTCATCATCAAGATGCTTTCAGACCTGAGTTTATTATGCAGTCACCTTGTCGTATTCGTATCTTGCACCAAGTATCAGCGAGGTTGCACCCTTCAGGTTTTCTGCCTGAGCAGGGGGTTGGACTAGATGACTACCAAGGTCCCTTCCAACTTTTTTATTATTATTATTATTATTATTATTATTATTATTATTATTATTATTATTATTATTATTATTATTATTATTATCATCATCATCATCATCATCATCACCATCATCATCATTACCATCATCATCATCATCATCATCATTTATGACCCTTCTATATTTTACTACCACTTCTATTTTTCTTCCTACTGCGGCAAATCCATTAAGAACAGAATGAGAAAATAACTGCAGATTATCTTTGGAGTGAGAGTGCTTGCACTTCCTCTGTCTTAAAGTTACCTCTTGATTGGTTTTCCCTTGATGTTACTGGTGGCGTTGCCCAAAGTACGCACTTGTCCCTCGCCTGTTGCATCAATGCTGTCTGTGCTCCGAGCCTGCATGGTTAAAACAAGTAAAGTATGCACAAATTTAACTTATCACATGCTGCGTGGTTCATAAATGTTTTCCGGGCGTCACTGTCTTTGCTTAACTCTTGTGCTCTATTTCCACACAGCAACCAAGGGAAGAAATAGCTGTCAGAGAAATTTCACGGGGGCTCAAGAAGATAATCCCGGGGATTGTTATCAGATGTGGTGTGAGTAGACTTCCGCTTATGCAACAGAATTTCCCTTTCTTCCCTTCCCCCCTTTTCACCCTCTCCACTCCTCAAATATGTTCCAGAAAGTCTTGAGTGGCTGCACAGGAAGAAATACATTTATCTGACATGTCTCTCTCTCTCTCTCTCTCTTCCCAACAGCCTCCAAAAATGTAATAACCCAATCTCATCTTGCATCAAAAGCAAGCAGACAAGGTCTTGCTGTTTTTTTTTAATGTTAAAAATTGCTTCAGGGAAGACGAAGGAAAAGGTATTAATAATTCTAGATATTTCTGGTCATAAACTGCTGCAAACAGGAAAAAGCTATTTTAATACCTTAAAGAGTAAATGCATCACGGCAAAAATGTTTACGCTGTAGTACAGCATCCAATTCAAGTGGTTCTGATAGAAAAGAATGTATCATTAACTAATGGAATATACATCCCTTGCAAGCTTATCCTCACTGTCATCTCAACCATCCTCCAAGGAGCTCAATGGTACAAAAATGTGGGTATCCCACATTTGAAGGAAAGAGGGTGGCTCAAAATATTCCAGTGAGCTTTGCAACCGAGGGTGATTTCTAATGCTGGGACTTCCCAGGAAAGGACCAATAATCTAATAATTATAGTAACTGATTTGCTTGCATACTTCTACATTACACAAGAGAAGATATATACTGTAGGTTTCCTCCAATAAAGTATAAATTGAAGTGAAACCAGCAAGAGTAGTACAATAGTATCATTTGGATTCCAATGGTGCTATGGATGAGCTCACAATTTGCCTTGAACAGAGCCATAAGAGTTGAAAGGCGATCTAGTTCTATAGGAGATCTACTCCTTTAAAATCCGACTTCTCCAGTTCCTGCTTTGAGATTCTTGTGGTGAGCTAGAAGTTGTGGGTACTCCAACACTGGAGGTTTTTAAGAAGTGATTGGATAGCCATTTATCTGAAATATTCTATGGCAATGGTGGCGAACCTATGGCACGGGTGCCAGAGGCGGCACTCCGAGCCCTCTCTGTGGACACGCGTGCCGTCGCCCCAGTCCTAGGCCTTCAGCTGGGTTTTATAAAACCTTTTCGCTTTAGGCCTCGTGTGCAAAAAAAAAAAAAAAAAAGGTTCAATCAATTAGTCAATTTCAACTTCTCACAGGAAAAAAAACTCTTGCAAAGTTGGAATTGATTGATTGAACTTTTTAGTCCCACCCAGTCTGCCGTTACCATCGCAGCCACGCCCAGCCAATGGGCCACGCCCAGCCAATGGGCCACGCCCAGCCAATGGGCCACACCCACCCAGCACCCGACGATGCATAAGTGGGTTTTGGGTTGCAGTTTGGGCACTCGGTTTCTAAAAGGTTCGCCATCACTGTTCTAGGGATTCCTGCTTAAGCAGGGTTTGGACTAGAAGACCTCCTTCCAAATGTTACTCTGTTATTCTATTAGTCTACTACAGCGGTTCTCAACCTATGGGTCGCGACCCCATTTGGGGTCGATCGACCATTTCAAGGGGGTCGCCAAGCAAGGCTATCCGCCATTTTGTCCCCCTTTTCCGGCGGGTGCCTTACCTCCCTTGGGCTAGGCCAGCTGGTGGTCGGCCTGCTCCGTCTCTGCCGCTTGCCAGCTACGCCTCAGCCGGCGCAGGGGGCGGAACCACGCATGCGTGGCGCTCCCAGGCAGGGAAAGTCCTCGACTTACGACCGGTTGGGTAGTCCTCGACTTAGGACCTGTTTAGTCCTCGACTTACGACCGGTTTAGTCCTCGACTTACGACCGGTTTAGTCCTCGACTTACGACCGGTTGGGGGTCACGGCATTAAAAAGGTTGAGAACCACTGGTCTACTATATTGTAAAACAGTGTTTCTCAAACTTGGCAACCTTTAAGATACCCCTGCCGGCTGGGGAATTCAGGGAGTTGAAGTCCACATATCTTAAAGTTGCTAAGGTTGAGAAACACTGCTGTAAAATATTTTGCTCTTCAATCAAATACACTGTATAATCAATAAAGTGTTCTACATCTTAAATCAAAACGCCCTATCTTGAAACCAGGCGCATCTTGGGAGTAGAACCAAATATAACAAATTATGATCACTCTACATATGGCTGAAAATAATCTATCAAATTGATGCTTAACTCTACCCAGTCCCTTCAATTCTTCCTTATAGAGCAGGGGTGTCATGCCAAAACTGCACCTACCCAGCTCCGGCAATGGGGGAAAAGTCGCTATATGTCACGACACGTCACGTGATTTTGCGAGTTTGACACCCCTGTTATAGAGCTTGTCTCCAAATTTCTCATCCCACTTTGTGGAATTTGATGAACAGCTAAAATGCTGAAGAAAACCCTCCGTTTAAAGTGTGATCAAAGCAGAGGACAGCAATTCCTTTTATGACAGAAAAACCATACTGTTGTTAATGTAAACCACAATATAGCCGGAAATTGACAGATCACGGCACAAACTTCAAACCAACAACACTTCTTTTTTCTTTCAAAATCGTATGTTGCAAAACCACATATGTGTATTGGCATTGCCTTCCCCAGCTCCTCCTTGCAGGCTGTTAGTTGATGTGTAGTGATGTCATCTCCTGTGTTATATTTACTACGCATTTCTGGAGAAAAAGAATATGCTTTTTGAGGCCACCATCTGGCTCCTAAACCTTTTAGATTTTTAAGCAGAGACTCAAAATCTATGTGATCTTCAAGTCCGTACAGTCAACAGGCTAATGCCCTGGGAGCTGGTCTGGATCTTCCAACCCTAAACCTGTCTTTTGTTATTGAGCATCCTGAAGACATGTTGAGTTACAACTCACACCACGCCCAATTTGGTGATACATATGAATTATGGCTCAAAACACCTGATAGGATCAAGTTTACGTAGACAGCTCTAAAAGGCCAGGATTAGAAGAGATGAAGATTTACTATCTATCTTATGGAACTGCACATTTACTTCTATTGGAGAGAACAACCTGAATGAAGAGGGAGCAAAGGAATTGTTTTTTGGTGGGGACCTTCTCCAAAAGTGGGACAAAATATCTGCCACCCTGGAGGCCATGGTTATGAGCCAGGAGACCTATTGGATGATGCAATGTTTCTGACTCAAATGGCTTTGAAATTTTCAATGGATCAGTGTTAATTAAGCTGTTCAAAGTTATTGTTATGAAAACAACCTGCAATGTAATCAAATTATTTTTCTCCTTCACCCTCTAAATTTCCTTTCCTGGGAGCATGGTCAGAGAACAAAAACCATCCTCCAATTTGGCCTTCAATGTCTAGGCAGAAGCATCTACAGTGCCATGTTGGTTGACAAAGAGAATGGAACTTGATGAGAAAAGAAGCGTCAAACTTCTCCAGGTCATCCCAGTTTCCAATCAAACAGGCAAAAGTCCCTCTGCCCCCCCCCAAGAGAAAAAAGGGGGAAGGATGTTGCTATACATCAGGGGTCTTCAAACTTGGCCCTTTTATGACTTGTGGACTTCAACTCCCAGAATTCCTCAGCCAGGCACACTATACATGGTTTATTGAACAACTGCAATTGGTTTACAGACCACATTGTTTATAAGTCACACTACATGTTAAGTATATACCTTAAGTTAGAACCACAAAATTCACATTATAATTTAATATGATGCATGATTCTAGTGTGTTTAAGGTTGTTTGGAAGGAAATGGCCAAATGGCACCCCAGGTCTGGAATTCTATCCTCAAATCCACCTGATGCTGTTTGACATCTTTGGAGCAACAGGTAAAAATTGGATTGCTCTGTCAGCTAATTATTTCTTTATGATAATTTTTAAAAATTGTTTACACTAATTTAATTGCCTCACAAGCCATGCTAAGAATCTACTGGGACTGAAGAGTGAGCTATAAAATTTGAGATTTTTAAATAGTAACCACGTTTCCATAGGAGCTGCTGAAAACAGAAGTGGAGAATGTTAGTATCTTGCTCACACATGTTTACAAGATAATAAACAGAAAATAAACAAATATAGGGAGCATGGAAATATGCTGAGATATGCTGCCTGGCCAAGATCACCTAGTACGTGCTACAAATAATGAGCAATTGAGCCCAAATCTCTGTAAGCTTAGTCCAGGGGTAGGCAACCTTGGCTCTTTTATGACTCGTGGACTTCAACTCCAGAATTCCTGAGCCAGCCATGGTGGCTCAGGAATTCTGGGAGTTGAAGTCCACGAGTCATAAAAGAGCCAAGGTTGCCTACCCCTGGTTCAGTCAAATCAATATATTATGCCAATTCAATTCTAAGGATTTTAAATTAATTATTGAGAGGCTCCATCTACAAAATCCTGATTTGTACTTAAAAGTCTATATTGGATCATAAGAATAAGGGTTGGTTTGCAAATTGTTAAAATGTCCAGTAAATGTAGAACGGCTGCACGGTGCCTTTCACCATTTTTCCTAAAGACTCAACCCTTATCCATCAGAAAATGGAAAAAAAGAACCACAATCTTATGACCACACCTGAGCCCAAAATTTCTGTCATTAAGTGAGACATTTGTTAAGTGAGTTTTGCCCCATTTTACGACTTTATTCGCCACAGTTGTTAAGTGAATCTGTCTTCCCCATTGATTTTGCTTGTCAAAAGGCTGTAAAAGGGGATCACGTGATCTTGGGACACAGCAACGGTCCTATGAACCAGTTGCCAAGCATCTGAATTTTGATCACATGATTATGGGAACGCTTCAAAGATCGTGTTAAAAATGGTCATAAGTCACTTTTTCCAGTGCCGTTGTAACTTTGAATGGTCACTAAATGAACTGCTGTAAGCCAATGACTATCTGCATATAGATTTCTCAGCT